AGCGCGGAGGCCGGTGCTGGGAGTGGCCCCTGCGGGCCCGCACCACAGGTCTTTCTAGGCGGAATGGCATTCTGCCGCGCAGCCGAGAAGAGTTGGGGTATGGGGCTCTGACGTTATCTTACGAGGTCGCGTTTTTTCCGTCGCGCCGTCAAATCTCAGGGGACCGAACATCCGACGATGTAATCTTCAATCCGCGGCTCCACAAGAAATCCCGAACCTCCCCAAGGACAGCTTCTCGCACCCGACCAATGTTGGATGGCCCCTGGGGCGTGAGAGAGCTCAGGAGCCCCATTGTAAATGCGACCTTGTCAGGAAACTCAGGAGCCCCATACCCTAACTTCTCGGCTGCGCGGCAGAGTGGCATTTCGCCTAGAGTGACCTGTGGTGCGGGCCCGCAGGGGCCACTCCCAGCACCGGCCTCCGCGCTTCGATTTGGCCCCCCCGCGGCCGCCCAAAGCCGCGCATAAAAGGTCATGCTTGCCCGGGGTCACTCTTACGCGCAGCCACAGCCAATGTTATGAAGCATCTGTCTAGACAGATCGATGATTGCGGGCAAGCGTAAAACAACGCGCCCAGATCTCAGGGTTCCTCCTTCCGCCCCATCTCATCCCCGTCATCCTCCTCTTCCAACCCCTTCCTCCTCCAGCTTCAACTCCTGCTCCTACCTACTCCCCGCCCTCCAGCCCTCCTCCAGGACCCCCCCCCGAACCCCACCTGCTCCTCCATCGTCCTCCGCCTCCTCGTCCATTCCCCCCCTTCCCCGTCCTCCTCCTGCTCTTCCGGCTCGCCCTCCTCCCTATCCCCTCCGCTCCTCCCCCCCTCCACTGCACCCTCCCTCCCCCCTCCCTCCTACCTCCCGTTCGCCACCCGGGCGTCGGAGGCCGGCAGAGCCGATCGCCGCGTGACGCGCCCGCTCACTCGGGGGGGCCAGGGGCAGCGTGGGAAGAGGAGGAGGGCGAGGAGGGCGAGGAGGGCGAGGAGTGGGAGGGGCAGGCGCGTCGGGGAGGGGACATCAGCGCGGAACTCCTGGCCAGACGTGTCTGGGGTTGCTGTCCAGTTCCCAGTTCTTTCGGGCCGCTCAGCCAGTTGAGGATCGGGCGCCTTGTGAGGGGGAGGGGGAGAAGGAAGGGGTTGAGGATGAGTTGGGGGGGCATCCGAGGAGGGGGGTGAGGTCCAAAGATGTGTAGATGTCATGACCAGGCCCATGACATTTTCTAGATGACATATGCCCCCTAAGTTTCTTCTTGCAACGCGTTCCTTGGACACGCCATGGCACATGCCTCTTGCCAGGAAATGTGCGAACACCCTTTTCGTGGTTCCTATTCTTCGACGCAGCCGCATGAGGAGTACAGACGAGGAGGCGGAGCAGGACGAAGGTGGAGGAGAAGGGGGGTGAGGGGGCGAGCGGAAGCAGGAGGAGGAGAAGGAGGACAACATATATATATATATATATGTATGCGCAAAGGCGCAGAGGAGGAAAATATGTTGGAGCTGGGGAAGGAAGGCGGATGAGGGTGAGCAGGGGTAGGGGGAGGGGATGGAAATCGATGATGAAAGGAAGAAGATGGAGCGTGCCAGAAGTACGGAGGAGGAAAAGGAAGCAGAAGGGCAGGAGAGGAGGAGGAGGAGGAGGAGGCGGAGGCGGAGGAGGAGGAGGGAGGAGCTGGAGGAGGGAGGAGAGAGGAGGGCGAGTAGGAAGAGGAGGGGGATGAGAAGGATAGGGTCGCCCATGTGTCCACCCGCGGCGGTGGCAGCCGTGCGCGCGCATTTCACCCTCCATCCTTCTCGCTATTTCCTCCGCCTCCTTTCTCCTCCGCCTCCTCATCATCATCCTCATCCTCATCCATCCATCCATCCATCCTCCTCCTACTCCTCCTCCTCCTCATCATCATCATCATCATCCTCTACCTCCTCCTCCTCCTCCTCCTCCTCCTCCTCCTCCTTCTCCTTCTCCTCGTCCTCCTCCTCCTCCTTCCCTTCCGCATGGGGCTCTCCATCACCAGGGCCCGTTCCCCAACGTGATGCACCAGAGCGTCCATCGTAAGGCCCTCCATAGTTTGGGTGCCATCTATGCGGCCCTCCTCCTGGTTCTCTCCTCCTTCTCCTTCGGCACTCTCTACCCTCCCCTCCACCCCTCCTCCCTCCCCTCCTCCCCCCCCCTCGTCCTCCCTTCCCCTCCTCCCTCCCCTCCCCTGCCCATCCTTCCCCCCCACCCTTCCCCGCCGGGCAGCGACACCCCCTGCGCGGGCGCAGAACATCTCGCGCCCGCGGCCACCAAACACAAGATGCTTCAGCGCGCGGGGCGTGGCTGCGAGGTCAGAACAGGGGGGGAGGGGGGAGCCGAGGAGGAGGAGGAGGAGGAGAAGGAGGAACATCAAGAGGAGAAACAGGAGGAGGATGAGGAGGAGGAGAAGGAGGAGGAGGAGGAGGAGGAGGAGCATGAGGAGGGAGGAGAGGTAGGAGTAGGAGTAGTAGTAGTAGTAGGAGGAGGAGGAGGAGTAGAAGGAGGAAGAGGAGGAGGAGGAGGAAGGAGGGAGGAGGAGGAGGGCGGAGGAGGAGGAGGAGGACGAGGAGTAGGAGAAGGAGGAGGAGGAGGAGGAGGAGGAGGAGGAGGGGGTTGAGAGGAGGAGAGGGAAGGGGTGCAGGAGGTAGAGCCTCGATGAGCATCGTGGGTCCTCTCCCTTTCCCACCCTTTCTCACTCTGTCCCCCCTGGTTTGTCGGGCCATTTTCTTCTGAGGAGGTAGGGGAGGAGGGGCTTGGAGGACTAGGAGGCGTGAAGGGGGAGAGAGGGGAACAGGAAGGAGGAAGGAGGAGGGGCAGGACGAAAAGAGAAGCAAGGAGTAGGGGCAGAACGAAGGGGAGAGAGTCAGGAGGTCAACCAGGGGGAAGAGAGACACAGGGAGGGAGGGAGGGAGGGAGGAGGAGGCGGAACGACGACGACGACGACGACGACGACGACGACGACGACGACGACGACGACGACGACGACGACGACGGCGGCGACGGCGACGGCGACGGCGACGGCGACGGCGACGGCGACGGCGACAGCGACGGCGACGGCGACGGCGAAGGCGACGGCGACGGCGACGACGGCGACGGCGACGACAGCGACGGCGAGGCCGCTGGCGCACTGAGGGGGGTCGTTGGGCCTCGCTCCCCCCACGCGGCCCGTCGTTGCAACTGCGCATTCCGCCCCATGCCTCCCTCGCAGCCCTGCGCTCATTCTTCCACCACCGCTTCGGAGTCGTGCCCTGAGATCTCGAGGAGCGGTGGAAGTGGATATCTGCCCGCGCGACTGAGCGGCGGTGGGCATGATCCTACTCTGGCGGGCGTGTTTTTTTGATTCGCCTCCGGATATCAGGTCCTGTTGCGGCCTACCTTTGCCAGCGCCCCTCGCGCTGGCGGGTTGGGATGCCCAGTCGGGCCTGTCCCGAGGTTTTCTTAATTCCGATCCCTTGCTCCGTCGGCCTGGCATGCCCAGGGGGCTGCTTTGGTGAAGTGGTGTACGTACGTGTGCATACTGGCGTGCGCACGCATGTGTTTTCTCGACTGGCCTTCGGACCGTGCCGCCACCATGCTGGAGGAACAGAGGCCTCTCGAGGGCATCGTGGTGTCTTCTGGGCGCCTCGTCCTGCCAGGCATCGGGGGGGCCTCTGGTCGGCTACGCGTGGGAGTTGCCTTTCGCCAGAGTGACCTCTGGTGCGGCCCCACTGGTGACCCGCCAGCACTGGTCGGTCGGGAGCCTTGAGGCGAGGGTCCATGCAAACCGGGGTCTGCCAGAGCGCCCGATCTTGCAGGATCCTGCGGGGTTTTGCAGGATTCGCAGGATCCCACAAAGCGCGACTGGCCCGGGTTTGCATGGACCCGGGTCAGTAAAAGCCCGAGTCGGTGTGCTTGGATTGTTTGGATTTGAACCCCGGCCAGAGCCCCGTCGAAGCCGCACGCCAAATTTGCCTAGGATCACTCTTGCGTGCAGCCGATCTTGGGCGCGTCGTCGGAGCTCGGAGGGGTGGTCTCGGAGGTTGCCGTGGGGTGGAGGGGCCCAGAGGCATCTTCAGGGGCAACGACAGGGGGGGGGGGACAGGCACAGGGGGGATGCATCGACCCCCAGTCGCCCATTGATCGCCGAGAAGGGTCTGATAGCTTCACCCCGCTCAGGGACGCGGGGATCTGCTATCGGGGGCACATCGCCCACCGATCGGCGATGTGTCTCCGATTCCAGGTCGGTGATTTCCTCCCCCCCCTGTGCCAGTCCCCCCCCGTCGTTTCCCCTCAGGGGTGGAGGGGCCCAGAGGCATCTTCGAGTTTCTACTCCAGAGCGCCTCTTGGGACTGCTCGGGGGGGTTCGGGGCTTATCCTGGGGCCCGGTTGCCGTCTTGGGGCGACCTTGGGGGCCTCTCGGGTCATCTCGGACGCTCCCAAAACCGAACAGGCGAGCATGCGGAAATGTACAGGCATGTTTGAACTTTGCTGTTTGGATTGGCCCTTAGGGCGTCCAAGACGCAGCTCCCGAGGCTTCGGGCGGGGGCCCCAGCGTGTAGAAAAATATGTTGCAATACCCGACCCAGGAAACTCGGAGGGACCTGAGGACTAGGACACTCCGCTTCGTGCCTGGCTGCTAGCAGCACGGTGACGGATGTACATAAATGAAATTGTCCTTTCTTGTTTTCCCGCCAAACGTCTCTCGCGTTCTTCCGATACGTGTTGTTATGTCTTGTCGTGATCTCTCTCTCTCTCTCTCTCTTTCCCGATTGCTATATATATATATATATATGAGTGTACGTCCCTCTTCTCTATTTCTCTCTCTCTCTCTCTCTCTCTCTTTGCTCTCTCTCTCTATACATATATATGTATATATATATATGTCTCTCGTATTGTGCTGTTGCTTCTTGTTCCCCTGTGCATGTGTTCTCTATCATTATTCCCCTCTCTCTCTCTCTGCTCCCATTTCGCTGTACCCCTCTCTCTCCCCCCTCCCCTCGTCACAGGTCAGCCGCAGCCTGGCCCAAGGGTGCGCCGAGGCTGTGGAGCCCCGTCGGCCGCGGCGGTTCCCCCCGCACGCCCTCCGGGCCCCGTCGGCCTGGAGGGGGGCATGGGAGAAGTGCACCTGGAGCCCAGGAAGCCCTGCCCCCAGGGGCAACGGTAGGGGCGGACAGGCTCGGCAGGGGATACCTCGAGGTTTCGAGGTTTCTGGGCGTTCTCGCTCGTCCTCGGCGGTTTTCTAGCCCCGGGGTGCTCTCCAGCAGCTGCGCCTCGCCGAGAGCGTTCCAGGGGTGCCGGGTTCGTCCCGAACGGCCACGGGAGAGCCTAGGTATGGCCGGAAAACGATGGGCGTGGGGGGACAGGCTCAGGAGAGAGGTGCAGCGACCCCAATCGCCCAGTCATCGCCGAGGGGGACCTGATAGCCCACCCCAACCCAGGCACGTGCCGACTCGCCATCGGGGGCCTGTCGCCGATCTGTCGGCGATGTCGCCGATTCCAGATCGATTCCCCTGAGCCAGTCCCCTCAACTTTCCCTCACATCCCCCCAGATCTACCTTGGAAGCGCACGCGAGGATTCGAAGAGCGATGACGACGACGGCTACACCTCCATTCTGAGTAGAGTGTTCACGACGAGGACGAGGAGGCAAAGGATGAGGATGTGAGATTCGACGAGGAGGCGAAGAGAAGACGAAGGTCGAAAAAGTGTTCCCGAGGTAGATCTTGGGGGGACGGACCCCCAGGAACTTGTCCTCCTGCTTCGACGCGGCGGCCCTCGTGTGCGTGACACCCGCAGGCGAGGTTGCAACTCCCCAGACACCTGGTGCCTCGAGCAGGTCGAGCTGGCCACCTTTGTCATCATGTCTGGCCCAGGGAGGCAAGGTTCGGGCCTCGGGACCGTCAAGCACAATCCGTGAGACAAAATGGAGTCGGGGAATTGGTCGAGAGGTCCCAGGGCCCATGCTCTGGTATATAAAGTCGAAGCGCCAGATGTCTGGGTCCTGGGAGGTTGAATTCAGCATCAGTTTTGGAATCTGCCCCCCAATGCAGCCCAATAGGGTTCAACCAGGCAGGCCTAGGATGAACACTGACCGTCCCAGAGAGCGCTCTGGCGCGCCAGAGACTCTTGGAACATGCTGTGAAACGGCAGTGGAGCCCGATACATCCACCAGACCCGCCAGCGCTCAGAGATTCCCAATTTCTCTCGATTCTGATGTGTCTCCATCCTGCCTTTGGCCTGGTACGGGGGGCTGAACACTCCCTCATACGGCAGGTTCTCGCCGCGTTGCCCTGGCGGCGACCCTGGTGCACTCGTTCAAGGCTGAACGCCGCGGGTGGCTTGGAGCTGGCCGATGTCGAACGATCTGCGCTATCGGAAAGCAACGATCGTTCAAAGTTGAACGACCCACGCGGTGGAAGAGACCGGCGCGCAAGTCGTCACGACACGTATTTGTTACTTGCCGTGGCCCCCCGATACGGCTTGATGGGGTCTGACCTCGCCCAGAAGCAGTCTCGAAGGGGAGACTCAGGGGTCGAGCTACAGGGTGTTTTGGCGATCTCGTGGGCCGCTTCCGTTTCGAGTTCGTTTTGCAGCAAGGGTGGATTGAAGACAAAACGAGGGACAGCGAAAACAGAACGAAAACAAAAAGCACCGTTCAGGTCGAGAACTGCATGCACAGAAGTGCTCGGAGCTCCGCGCGGATCTCTTGGGATCGGCGCCGCCTCTGGCGCGCTCCGCGCGCCAGGCAGTGGGCCTCCGCCGATCCCACGGAATCCGCGCGGAGCTCCGAGAGCGGAGGCCTCTGCTGCCCTGTGTTGCTCCTCCGTCGGAGGAGGGCCGGTGGAGACGGCGGCGGCTCTCCCGCCCGGAAGCCGGCGCAGCTCCGCTCTGGAGAGCCGGCCCCCCGACCCGCGTACGCCGGGGCGGTCGCCGGCGACCGGGCAAGACCCCCCGAGGAGCTCCAGGAGGGGCCCCGCGCACGACGCCCGGGGAGGGCTGCCGATATCTCGACGGGCGCGCCGCCGAGGACGGGCCTCCCGCCCCCCGTTCCGGGTCGGACGGCGAGGGGGGGGGGCTGCGGCAGCAGATCGTGGGAGCCCTGCCCCTGCTCGGAGTGCCGCTCCTCGGGTGCGTCGGCGTGCGGTGGCGCTCGGCAGTCGGTGGGAAAGCGCCGAGTCGGCGCTCGATCAGCGTCGATCCGCCAGGGCCAGCAAGATTGCCTGGTAGGCTCCCACGAGTTGCCGCAGGCGCCTCGCAGGAGCTCTGCGTCGGACGGTAGGGGAGGGGATGGGGAGGGCGGGGGTCACGAAAGTTGCTGCGTGCACCTGGCTTCGGTCACGCCGCCGAGCGCCTTGCTCGATGCGTTTGAGCCTTCCCCCGGCGCAGGGAGGCGCTGGGGAAACCCGCTGCGGGAACTGATTCGGTCACCCCCCTTGACTAGATGGCGTTTTTCTTCAGAGTCTGGCAAGTTTGCTTGCATGGATGGGGAGGGAGAGAGGGAGCGTGGCGAGGCCCGGGAGGAAATCTCGACTTCACGCAAGTCGGGACTCAACTGCACCTTTTTGGTTCAGCGCTTCTTGAAGTGGCGGCGGAAGGCGCGGGGAGGGGGGGAGGTAAACGCCATGCAGGTAAGCTTGCCAGGATCTAGCTAAAAACAGCCTCCTGCCCCCTCCCCATCCATCTGTCTTGGTGGGCGAAGAACGGTAGAACATAAACTTGTCGGCCATCGGGGCGCTTGTCCCAGGGCGGCTGGAAAGTCTAGACCCTCTCTTGCCACCGCAAGGGTCTAAATTCCCCGGCAGCCCAGGGGTAGGCGCCCCCGTTGGCGGCAAAGTTTCGTTTACGCCGCACTTCGCCCGCTAACCTTCGTCCGACCCGATCCTCCGAGGCCAGGCCTCCCACGAGTTTCGGGGAACAGAAAATGTCACGACATGAGAACTCAGAGGTCCGCGCGGATTTCTTGGGTCGGCGCTGGACACCCCTCCCTGGCGCGCGCGGCGCCGGAGGCGCTGCCGGGGGGCTCCAGCGCCGATCCGAGGAACCCGCGCAGACCTCTCAGGTTCGGTGCTCGCGCCACTTGGCATCGCTCGGACGTGTGCTGCACGCCTTCCCGGGCGAGGGCCACCGAGGAGCACAGAGTGCTGGATCACCCTTCTGCGAGACCGGAGGCCGTGCACGGGGAGCGGGCGTCCGAGCGATGGCCGAGCGCTTTTGTTTCCCCAGAAGGGGGCGAGGAGGGAGGAGGGAGGAGGAGAAGGAGGAGGAGAAGGAGGAGGAGGAGGAGGAGGAGGGAGGAGGGAGGAGGAAGGAGGGAGGAGGGAGGAGGGAGGAGGGAGGAGGGAGGAGGGAGGAGGAGGGAGGAGGAGAGGAGGAGGAGGAGGAGGAGGAGGAGGAGGAGGAGGAGTCCGAGGAGGAGGCGGAGGAGGAGGAGGGGTCGAAGAGCAGGGTCAGGCTCGTCGTCGTCGTCGACGACGACGACGATCAGTATGGCCCCCCGCGCAGGGTCGAAGAGCCGCAGGGCCCCCCCGGGCCGCGCGGACGGCTCGGCGCTGCCCTCGCGCGGGTGCGGCAGGCCGCCCGGGGGCCTCTTCGCCGCCGACGCCGACGCCGACGCCGACGCCGACGGCGTCCTCGGGAGGCCTCGGGAAGCCTCCGCGGAAGAAGAGCCCCGCAGAGGCATCGGCTGTCCGAGGTCTGCGAGGACATCTTGGATCGGCGCCGACGACGACGACGACGGCGGCGACGGCGACGACGACGACGACGACGACGACGACGGCGACGGCGACGGCGACGGCGACGGCGACGGCGACGCCGTCGCCGCCGCCGCCGCAGTCTGACCAGCCTGAATAACGCCCAGACATGCAACGTTCGAACGAAAATCAGGATGGAGGTTTTTTTCAATCCACGTTCGGCCTCTCTCGGGGGCCCTTGCCAGGACCCAGGACCATCAAGGAGTTTCTCGGGAGGACAGACAGGCCCTGGGGAAAGGACCAGGACTTCAGGGGACCGCGTGGGACATCGTATGTGTGGGCATCTCTATCCTCATGACTGGCATCACCTAATCTGGATGCCCACCTGGATGATTGCTTCAGTATTTGTTGGCACATCCCTAATATTGCCATCGCCTTGGGCATGTCAATTTTAGAGGTGGGGATAAGTTTGAGGCTGGTTGCTCTCGCTTCGGACGAACAGGGCGATGGGCAGGAAGGGAGGAGTACGAAGTCATCGATGCGCTGGGAGGCGCCGGGCTAAGCAGGCGAAGTACGTGAGCCGATGCGCCACCCCCTCCCCCTTCTGCCACATCCCCCCATGTCGCCAAACCCGGCCTTCTCATGGCGCGTTGGGGCCTTCGGGCGGCGAGAGTTACACATAATCACCGCCTTTTCCTGGGCCCTGGATCGGTGCGCATGCCTCATTACCTGGCCAAGCACGCCCACTTGGCATGGCCAGGGAGGCGTGCAGGCCGAGGCGCCCAGGATGGGCCTGGCTTGGGGGTTGGCGGTGGATAGCTTCAGATCTCGTCGCTTCGACGGAGTGGCGCCAGGGGCGGCCTTCCTCACAGAGCGGGGGGGGGACTTCTTGGAAGACAGGGGCATTTTCCAAAGGGCCTGGAGGCGTCAGGCTGCGTCGTCATCGTCGTCGGGCCCAACCTGTTCGTTTTGCTCTCTGAGGCCCCCACAGGCCCCTGGAGCCGGAAGAGTTTCACAAGTTGCACAACACGCGCAGAAGCGTTGGGAGATCCGCGCGGATTTCTTGGATCTGCGTTGGACGCTCCAGGGCGGCGCCTCCGGCGCCGCCCTAGCACGCTCCGCGCGATTCAGGGAGGGGGGCCCAGCGCCAGTCTAAGAAATCCTCGCAGACCTCGGACGGTCGATGCTTGTGCAGGTTCATTTTCTGCGGAGGCCTCCAGAGATATCCAGAGGCCTCCCGAGGACATCTTCGGCGCCAGCGTCTTCGTCGGCGTCGTCGTCGGTGGCGGCGTCGGCGTCGGCGTCCGCGCCGACGCGTCGGCGTCGGCGTCTTCGTCGGCGTCTTCGTCGGCATCGTCGACGGTGGCGTCGGCGCCGACGCGTCAGCGTCGGCATCGGCGTCTTCGTCGGCGTCGGCGGTGGCGTCACCGTTGGCGGCGCGCGGCGCCGACAGGCTGTGGGAGCGGCTGGAGCGCGAGAGCCCCGGCGGGGGGCCGCGGGGGGCCAGCGACACGCCGCCGGCGAGGGCTTGCCAGGCTGAGGCGCCCTTCGAGACGGAGGCGAAGGCGCCCCAGGCCGAGGGGCAGAAAGCGGCACACAGTTTGAAGCCATGGTAAGGAAGCCTTCAAGCAGTGGCGAAGCGTCCTGGCTCGCCTGTAGCCCCACCGAGCAATGTTCTGAGAACCTTTTGTGGTTTCCACGAAATGTTCTTAGAACATTTCTGGCGGAGTCTGTCTTGTTTGAAACCATCGGGTTCATGTTCTAAGAACATTGTCGTTGTTCTTAGAACATTCTTGGGTTCTGAGAACATTTCGTGGTATGACTATAAGAATGCCGGGACGGTGGTCCCTGCTCAAGAAGCGTTGGTTCGTCAAGGTTGCCCGTGCATCCTTGCTTCGTCGGCCCATCCTGAGCCAGTGGTGTCCAGGGAGCTCCTGCATGGTGAGTGGGGCTTCCAAGGGTCTTACAGCCTTCTCTTGCATACTTACTGCGGACGTTGATTCCACGTCGGGAGTTGAGAGAACCCGCACCTGGGAGTCGGCTCAGCAAGCGCTGGTTCCGGCGAACAGGAAGGGAGGGGGGCAGGTCCGAGGAGGCGCTGGGTTCGCGAATGTGTCTTTCGTTTTTGGGTCTCCAGGGCTCGCTTTCGGGCCACAAGACCGTCCAAACGGACCCGGAGTGGAAAACTGCACCAGATGGACCCCGCGAGAGCGGTCTAGGGACAGATTTTGAGTGGAGTTGGCCTCGTCCCTCCCTATTGATCGATTTTCTGGGGCCCCATCCAGTGCAGACCCCTGGCCGCCTCCCCCCCCAAAAAAAAATGCTGTCGGTAATTAGTTGGTCGGGAGCTCGCGGGGTTGGGAATCCCCCCCCCCCCAAAAGAAACATGGAAAAACAAATACACACCCACATCATTAAGAATCAAACGAATCGTTGCGACATTCCCCTCCCCCCCCCGGCCCCCCCAAAAACAAGGTTTGCGTAACGTAGTCGGTGACAGCTGGCGGGCCGCCCTCAAGGCCACCAAGTTATGCAAACCTTTTTCTGTTGTTTGGAAACCTTCACAAGGAGTAGTTTGATGGTTTTTGATGTTGGGGTGTTTCCAAAATTGTTTTCAATGTTTTGGGATTCCCAGCCCTGCGAGCCCCAGACCGACTAGGTTCTGCAAACATTGCGTTTCCCGACCATCCTGTGATATTGGGTCCTCGTTTTGAAGAGACAGCGCCCCGGCTCCTCCTCTCCTCTCTTCTCCTCATCCCACTCCTTCTCCCCCTCCCTCCTCCCGTCACCCCCCTCGCTTTGGCACACCCCTCTCATGGCCCCATAGTGAGCTCCGCCGAACCCCCACCGAAGGCCCAGGTGCCAGCGATCGCATGCGGCCACCGCATCCCCATCGTGAGGAACCCAGAGGAAACCGTAGAAATCCCCAGGAGCCCGAGGGAATCCCGCAAGAATCTTCCGGACTCCGTAGGGGCCGTGCAAATTCCCATAGATCGCTGGGAATCCTTTTTGGGATTCTCAGAAGCCCTCAGGAAATCCTGAAGAACCCTACGGCATCCATAGGAATCCTCGGGGATCCGTGGGAATCTTCAGGAATCCGTAGGCACCCAGAGGAATCCAAAAGGAATCCCCAGGACACCTCAGGAATCCCGAGAAACAATTCCGAATACATTGGAATCCTGAAAGAGCCCCCAGGCATCCCCTGGGATCGCCAGGGCTCCTTAGCAACACTTTAGAAATCACACGGGATCCTTCGGAACCCCTCGGGAACAACGAGGCATCCTCCGGAATCAGTAACATACAGGAGGAAACCTCCGGAATCCTTGGGGATTCTCCGAGGAATCTTGGAATCATCAGGAGCCCAGGGGCGTCTTCGGAAATCTTCAGGGACCCATGAAAAGCTCCAGTAGTCTGCAGGAATTCGTAGGAATCCCTAGGAATCGAGAGGGAGTCTTTGTAAGAAACCCCTGGGATTCGCGTGAATCCTCAGGAATCCCCAGGTCCCCAGGAATCATCGGCGCTGACGAGAGATTCTCAGGAACCAGATACGTTCTAAAGATAGCCATAAGTGAAACGCAGGATTTGCACATTCTTCGTAAGAAATTCAATCCCGTGTATCGACCCCCAAAACAAACTAACCGGCCATAAACGACCTCCCATTAACCGACCAAAAACAAAACGGCATTCGAATAGTAGTGGGGTAGGAGTTGTTGTAGTATTGGTAGTAGCAGCAGCAGCAGCAGTAGTAGCAGTAGTCATACTAGTCGTAGTTAGTAGCTAGTAGCTTATAGTTTGTAGTTAGCAGGTAGTAGATAATAGTAGTAGTTCGTAATAGTAGTAGTTCGTACTAGTAGTAGTAGTAGTAGTAGTAGTAGTAGAGGTGATAGTGGTAGTGGTAGTGGTAGTGGTAGTGGTAGTGGTAGTGGTAGTGGTAGTGGTAGTGGTAGTAGTAGTAGTAGTAGTAGTAGTAGTAGTAGTAGTAGTAGTAGTAGTAGTAGTAGTAGTAATAGTAGCAGTGTAGTAGTAGTAGTAGTAGTAGTAGTAGTCGTCGTAGTCGTAGTAGTAGTAGTAGTAGTAGTAGTAGTTGTAGTCGTAGTCGTAGTCGTAGTCGTAGTCGTAGTAGTAGTAGTAGTAGTAGTCGTAGTAGTAGTAGTAGTAGTAGTAGTAGTACTACTACTAGTACTAGTAGTAGTAGTCGTAGTCATCATAGTAGTGGTAGTAGTAGCAGCAGTTGTAGTAGTAGTAGTAGTAGCAGTAGCAGTAATAGTAGTAGCAGTAGCAGTAGCAGTAGCATTAGCAGTAGTGGTAGTAGTAGTAATCGTTGTAGTAGTAGTTGTGTTGTTATCGTTGCAGTAGTAGCAGTCGTAGTAGTACTAGTAGTACTAGTAGTACTAGTAGTAGTAGTAGTAGTAGTAGGAGGAGGAGGAGGAGGAGGAGTAGGAGTAGGAGTAGGAGTAGGAGTAGGAGTAGGAGTAGTAGTAGTCGTAGCAGTAGTAGTAGTAGTAGTAGTAGTAGTAGTAGTTGTTGTAACAGATGTAGTCGTAGTATTAGTAGTAGTCGTAGGCGTAGTAGTCGTAGTAGTAGTAGTAGTCGTCGTCGTCGATGTCGTAGTCGTCCGAGTCCTAGTTCTAGGCCTAGTCCGAGCCCTAGTCCGAGTCGCAGTAGTAGTAGTAGTAGTAGTAGTAGTAGTAGTAGTAGTAGCAGCAACAATAGCAGCAGTAGTAGAACAGCGACGACTGGAACTTGGCTTGAGGATACTAACGTTTGCCCCCCCCACCCCCGCGCTCCCTTGCTGACCAAAAGTGTCTTGCCTGGAGATAATCAATGCAGTGGTGGGACGGTGTGTAGGCTCATTATCCAGGGCATGCGGTTATCCCTTAGTAGTCGTAGTCGTAGTAGTAGTAGCAGTAGTAGTAGTAGTAGTAGTCGTCGTCGTCGTCGTAGTCGTAGTCGAAGTCGAAGTCGAAGTCGAAGTCGTAGTCGTAGTCGTAGTCGTAGTCGTGGTAGTGGTAGTAGTAGTAGTAGTAGTAGTAGTAGTAGTAGTAGTAGTAGTAGTAGTAGTAGTAGTAGTAGTAGTAGTAGTAGTAGTTAGTAGTCGTAGTCGTAGTAGTAGTAATAGTAGTAGTAGTAGTAATAGTAGTAGTAGTAGTAGTAGTAGTAGTAGTAGTGATCGTTGCCGTCGTAGTAGTAGTTGTTGTTGCTATTGTTGATGTAGTAGAAGTCGTCGTAGTAGTAGTAGTAGAAGAAGTAGTAGTAGAAGAAGTAGTAGTAGACGTAGTCGTAGTAGTCGTAGTAGTCGTAGTAGTCGTAGTAGTCGTAGTAGTAGTAGTAGTAGTAGTAGTCGTAGTAGTAGTAGTAGTAGTAGTAGTAGTAGTAGTCGTCGTCGTGGAAGTCATGGTCGTCCGAGTCCTAGTTCTAGACCTAGACCTAGGCCAAGTTCTAGTCCTAGTCGTCCTAGTCCTAGCCCTGGTCGCAGTAGTAGTAGTAGCAGCAGCAGCAGTAGTCGTAGTAGTAGTAGTAGTAGTAGTAGTAGTAGTAGTAGTAGTAGTAGTAGTAGTAGTAGTAGTAGTAGTAGTAGTAGTACAGCGACGACTGGAACTCGGCCGGAGGATACTAAAGCTTGGCCCCCCGCGCCCCCTTGCTGACCAAACGTGTCTTGCCTGGAGATAATCAGTGCAGTGGTGGAGCGGGAGTAGGCTTATTATCCAGGGCATGCGGTTATCTCTCCGGTCCCTCTTGCTGTTCCCATCCCTCCTGTCCCTCAGCCTATCTCTTCTCCTACACCTCATCTGATCCCTCCTCCCTTCCTTCCCCATGTTCCTCCTCCTTGGTATGGATACTGAAGCCTCAGCGCCAGCCACATCCCTAAGTTCCTGAAGCCTCAGCGCCAGCCACATGCCTAAGTGGGAATGGTGCTGCCGCTCAAGCGCCAGACACATCCGTGATTGGAAATGGTGTTCTCGCATGAGCTCTGGCTTCAGTGCCATGCTGGGCGGGACGCTAGAAACTCCATCTTGAAAAAGTTGTCCAGGGGGGTGTTCGGGGATTCGTTGTAAGAAGTTTTCCCCAGAAGCCACATTACCCCTCATCCTGATCCATCCCTTGCCCCTCGCCAGAGGCGCCCCCTGGGGGTCCAGCGCCGAGTCAAGAGATCCGGGCGAACCTCAAAAGTTTACGTTCGTGAGGTTTTGTCGGCGGCGAGCGAGGGAGGGAAGTGAGAAGGAAAAGGCCTTCTCAGAAGGCGGCGGGGCTTCTAAGAAGGCCTCCTGCCTTTGAGAGGTTTTTTGCATCTTGCGGGAAGGCTCAGCTAACTTCTCAGAAGGCTAGGGGGACCTCCGAGCCTTTTGAGAAGGCCTTCTCCTCCTCGCTTCCCCCCTCGCTCGCCGCCAATTTTGTGACTCGCCTGCCAGGGCCGCGCGCGGCCGCGGCTGGAAGAAGGTACGCAGGAGGCCTCCGCAACGAAGTGCACCACCGCCGTGCCCGGCGGCAGTGGCGAGCCCAAGGGCCCCGGCTCGCGTCGCGTGCGTCTGTGAATAGAACCCGTGTAATACCCTCATATATACTCCTTATCCTCACCTCTCCTGCGCCTGGCCGTTTGGGCTCAGGTATTGGGACAGATCGATCAGACCTTTGATCGTGCAGGAGGAAAAGATATCCATCTTTCCCTCCTTCCCTCTACCAGCGGATCAGGGGTTATGTACCCTTGTACTTCAACCCCATACACAGGTTATCGGCCCTTTAAAGCTCACAGTTCATCGAACCCCGCGTCGCGATCTCGCACGCGGCCTCGATGGAACGCAAGCGGCGCATGCGCCGTAAGGGGTCCATCAGGGCCTCGCGTCCGAGCTCTCCGACGGCGCGACAGCTCGGTGATGAGTTGGAGAGCATTAGTGCGGACTGTGCAGGTGTCCCAGGCACCCCCCCCCCCAGCTCCGACGGACCCGAGGCGCGGCTAGCTGCTGAACTTCACCGCAACGCCGCCCGCGGGGGGACAGGAGAAGGAGTAGGAACAGGTAGTAAGGAGTTTCGCACGCCTACCTTCAATCCTCCATCTCCTCCTCCGTCGGGAGCAAACCCAACTGCGTCGGGCGAGAGCCTCACTGGTCCTGATACTCCAGGGCGTTTTCGCGCTAACCGCCGATGGACTTCGGGCGCTGGCACCCCCAGCCCTGCGACCGTTCCTGTAGCGGAGCACGTAGCCACCTTCGAGGAACTCAGTAGACCAGAGGCGGCACAGCCGCAGACGCAGCACCCCAAGGTATCATCTCATGAGACACCACGCACACACACACACACACACACGGTCCTAGCCGCAGCTCGTCCTCGCGTAACCGTCGTGGGGCCCCAGGCCCATACGGCGAAAGTAGGTCGAGCCCGCGTACTGCCTCGCAGAGGCCATGCACTCCTCGCGAGAGGGTGCAGAGGGAAGCTGACGCTCCCCACCTCTCCATCTCAGACGACCTGCCGGCGGCAACGTCCGCTGCTGGCGAAAGAGCTGAGTTCAGAGACCAGGTTGAAACCTTCGTGTCCAGGCAGTACTCTGGACTACTGCAGAGCGTTCAGACGAACGCTGCCAACACTGCTGCTCTACGCCCAGATCTTGACGGCGCCTTAGGGATCATTGATTCCAGGATCGCCGAAGATCGACGCATCTTAGGTGAGCTGCAGCACCAGGTTGACCGTGAGATGTCACACTCAGGTGAACGAACGGCGATGGTCGAGAACATGCGCAACTATCTCGCGCAGATGGAGCAACAGCTTGCGCTCGCACGCGACACTGGCGTTTCAGCAGTCAGGATCCTCCACGACGAGATCCATGACCAGCTCCGTAACCGACCACCACCAGCCGAGGCCACCGACCTTGGCGACGTTCAGTCTCAGATCAACGATCTTCGATCCCACATGGACCACACTACGGCGACGCTTCGCACCGAGGCACACACCAACTCGTCGAACCTGATCGACATGTTGCAACGTACTGAGAGAGTCATCACTCAAAGGCTTGATGCGACCAACGCTGTCGTGCAGCCACTCGCCGACCGGATCTCTGACATCGAGCAGCGTTTTCCTGGTGCACAGGACGCCTTGGCAGAGTTGCGTGTCGGACGAGCCCAGACTGCGCAGCTGGATTCTCCCCCCACGGTTTACGATCTCGCCCGCCCCACTGACAGGTTGCAGGAGGTTGAGAAGGCGGCGGACCACACGCAGTTAGAGCTCTCCCAGGTTATTCGTGAGAGAGATACTGAGACGGTACGTGTTGAGGGGCACCTCGCACGTCTGGAAAGTGAGTTGGAGGCACGCGGCGCCCGTCTCCGAGCCTACGAGCAACGACTCGATCGGCATTCACAACGCTCTCGGGATACTGATGAGTACACACGCCAAAAGATGGACCAGATACACGAAGACATGACGAGCTGGACAACTCAGCTGATTGACCACGCCAATGATACCATACTCCACCTTCAACCTGCAACCGACCTGCGCAAGCCGACGGCAGCGTCCGCCGAAGCACCACAAGCTTCTGCAGGACAACAACGACGTACGTCACCAGGAACAGCCTCCGCGGCAGCTTCAGCACAGACACGCCATGTGTCTCCTGTGCGCACAGAACCAACTACTGACGGTGTACCGATACCCTCACAACCATTGTCTGCGGCTTCGGTCATCACTATATCAAGGAGTCAGACACCGTCCGAGCCCCTGTCTTGCCTAACATCACGCAGCTGCTCGAGTGGCAGCAAAAGGTACGGAAGAACTTCGGAGCCGCCTCAGGGCGACCCTTCAAAGCATATGCCTTCCTATGCGTGGCTGAACAGCCCGAATGTACCTTTGAGGACTTACAAGACAGTGGAGACTTCGAGAGCATCGATTGCAAACTCGCTACCGCTCTCAGCGACATCTTATCCTCAGACTTGCGCTACCAAATCAGGCTCGTCGGAACCAGATCACAAATCAGGACGCATGCTCAAAGGACGCCAGATATACTGGCACATCCTACAGTCCTACAAAGTGACAGAGGTTGATGACGACCTGCACGACTTCGAGCGCCTTAGAGAACTGAGGATGAGAAATGAAGATTTGCAACGTTTCATTACTGACTGGGACGCTTTACTATTGGAGCGCCGAGAAGCACCCGACCCAAAGGTCTTGGAATCTCTGTTTCGCCCACAGATTCGCCGACATGCCTGGGTGAAACAAGATATGTACGAGTACCAGCGCATGAAGATCAACGACCCGAATCGTACCTATGGTTGGCTCCGACAGCGCGTCCTGGACGTACTGGAGCTGGAACAATTGGAGACTAATCAAATTAAGTTACGGTACGAACACGAGACTCGTTCTCAAGTCAATGTATGTGCCGCCTGGAAGAAAAGCAATTGTCGCCATGGTGACCGATGCAAAGCTTTGCATACCTATTCCAGGGACTGGAAGAACACCAGATCTTCCAGAGCACCGACCGCTGGCGGCGACTCCCGCCGCAGCGTCTCAACCCCTGCGAATCCCACGAAGCCAGCATCGAAACCATTTTGCTTCGAGTTCGCCAAGCGCAACACATGCAACAGAGGCGACAAGTGCACCTTCCCACACATGGCGCAGCGCAGATACTTCGCACAGAACAAGTGCACTAAGGGCGACAAATGCAAATACGCTCACCTTGCACCTGGTGCGAAGACACCCGAGCGAAGCCCGAGTCGCCCACGGACCTCCAGTCAGGACAGTCGTGGCCGACCACCATCCCGCGGATCAGGGAGCCAACGTTCTTCACAACGCAGGGGGGTCCGCTCCGCAAAAGACTCACGCCATGGACGTGACAACCGACGCCAATACGAACGATCTCGCTCGTCCTCCAGGAGGTCTCCAGACTCCCGCAGTCAGTCGAGAAGTCGCTACAACAGATCTTCGCGATCTACCTCCCGAGGACGAGACAGCCGTGGCGGAGGACGTGGCAGCCCACGCGGCCGCGATAGATCATACGGTAGTGACAGAGGACGGGGCCGACGTTCCATGAGCCGCGGTTCGCCCCGTGGTTCTCCCCACTTCAGAGCACGATCCCCTGCCAACTATCGACGATTTCGCCGCTCCGACCGCAGTTGCGTCATACGTGACAAGACCCTCATGGCCTCCACCAAAGCCACTACATCATCCACCAAACCACGGCGTCGGATACGTTTTGACACACATCATGTGGAATACTACCCGCACATCGTCTCCGGCAAGGCCAGATTGGATAAGTGGAAGGAGTTGCCGAATGAGGGCGACATTGTCAATATACCAGAGCCACTACCACAATGGTGGTGCAAACAGAGTGCCGACGCCCTACAACATTGTCAACGGGAGGCACAATTATGGCACAAAGATCTACATGACTACCGACACAACAAAGGGTCGGTGGTCACACCAACTGCGATTCCAGATTCTGATGACTCTACCAAGCAGTCACCAAAGACAGCCCAGACGAAGACAACGACGTCGCAAGTCGACCCTCCACGCTCGACCGCTGCGTTGACACGCTCCTGGGTTCTCGACAGTGGATCTGCGCATCATATTCAGGGTAAACACGAATTGACGCAGACCGGATCGGATCGCATTTCTATTCGCGAGGGGCATATTCTGGAAACTGCCAACGGCGATCGTACTGTCAACGAGCACTACGACATACGGCTACCCGAGGTTGGCTTACATAGTTCAGCCCTTGCCTTGCTAGATTGCCCATCATTACTATCAGTTGGAAAATTGATTGAGGTTGATGGCTTCCGGCAGATTTGGGATCCTGAGCTGGGCTACTTGCTTCAGGACCCGGGGGGCCAATGGTATAAGATTCCAGTCAACAACAGAGCTCCAGAATTACGACTCGACGACCTGCTGATGATACCGTCACCACGTATGTGCACTTCGTCAGCACCCAGACGTCGTCAGCGCAAGCGTTCATCCGCCCGCTGCAACGACCTATGTTGGTGCTGCAAAACTACAGAGCAGTTACCGCCCGCAGATGAGCTGCGGCCCCACATAGGGACCTGCCCCAAGAGACCACATGTCGGCGAGGGAGGAGGAGCACGGACCGCCAAGGTCGAAGAACCTCCCGACACAAATGACGCCGAGTCCAACGTGGATACACCCACCGACTCGCTTACGTCTCAGATGCAGTGTTCTCCTCCCGCATGCGGGGGGCTTGCAGATACAGCTCAAGCAGATGCTGACATGACGCCGACTTTCACCGACGATCTGCCGACGGAGACGATCGCGACAGCGCACCACGACAGTGATCGCGTTCTCCCAAACAGACAGAAGAAACCGATTGACCCTATGCACTACATGACCCACAGTCCAAAACACCCAGACTGTGAGATTTGTTCTCGCACGATGGCGCAAAACGCTCCGTGTCGACGACAGCACAAACCACATCCACCGGCAGACCCCACCGACGAGGACACAGCCTA